TGGCCGTGTCGTGGCTGCCCGCCCACTACCCGACCCGCCCAAGACGTCGTGTACCTAACCCGAGTCCAGCACCAATTCGCAGAAGCCAGGTGAGGAGTTGCTTCAGACCTTCAAGAACACCTTTCCGCATCTCGCTGCGACCACGCGCGCGGAGACGCTCAACAACCCCACCACCACGTCGCTCACCGATGCGCTCGACGTAGCACATCACAATCGGTACGTTCCTCGAGTCTCGCGCCTCAGCGGGCGGCATGCGCTGGCCAAGCCCGCGCCATTTTCGCAGATGCGCCCGCCCGCCTGAGCTGCACCGGCTCCAGGCCCCCATCGCAGCACTTGAAGACGGAAAACTAACTTTGTCTTGCATTGTAGCCAGTTCGCCGACCAGGAAGATATCAAGGACCAGGACCCGACGCCGCGCCCAAACCCCGAGCCCTGGAGATTTACGCCTTCCCTTCTCGACCCAAACAGCTATGCTTTCACCTCGTTCGCTAACCAACCGCCTGGATACTACACTCCCACTCCAAGCGGCACCAACACCCTCTATCACAGTCAGGCTGGCGACCTGCACACCCCCGGCTTCAGCTTTGGCCTAGGAACTCCCCTCTCGCTGGCCGCCTCCGAGGCCAGCGTGCATGCTGGCCATTCCGGACCCAGCAGCCATTTGCACGGCTTCAATCCTCACGCCCTGGGAACCCATCATCATTTCCCAACCCAAAATCCTTTTGCTCTCCAATCTCAACATGCGCCCGCCTTTGCGCCGCATCAGTTCACCCATGGGCCTTCACCCTTCGAACACCCTCCGCTTGCCCAGACCCATGAGAACTCGCCCATGGACAATGCCATGCATGATGTCGAAATGCAAGAGAATTCGCCCTTGCTGGGCTTTACGCCTCAGACGTTTAATGACAACCTCCAACCCGCGCTCTCGCATCAGCAGAACCAGAAGTGAGTAGTAGCCATCACAGTGACCAACTCTGTGTGGCTGTCGAATCGAAATGGACAAGCCGCTAATATGCCGCAGTTTCCGATATCACGTTACTCTGAACGCACCGACAGCCATGATCAAGACTTCAGACGAAATCCCAGTAACGTATCTCAACAAAGGGCAAGCCTATTCAATTGCATTGGTCGACACCGCTCCTGCCCAGTCAGCGGTTCCAGTCAAGTACAGGACTTTCATCCGCATCTCGTTCGAGGATGAACAGCAACGAGCTCGTCCGGCATCGTGCTGGCAGTTGTGGAAAGAAGGCCGTGGCACCAACGAAGCCCATCAAAGAGGAGGGCGTCTCCAAGCCGTCGAATTCGTTGATCCAAGCCAGGTCGGCGGTGGAGATGTGCAGGGACGACCAAAAATCGAACTCGAATCCTCCTCATTCGATGGTTTCTGTGTGACTTGGACACCCGTTCACAACAGCGCCCCAGAATGCTCCGTCGCCGTACGGTTCAACTTCTTGTCCACCGACTTCAGCCACTCCAAGGGCGTCAAGGGAATCCCCGTTCGCTTATGCGCAAAGACCGAATTACTCACGAGTGTGCCTGGATCACCACCGGAGACCGCAAAGGAGCTCTGCTACTGCAAAGTGAAGCTTTTCCGAGATCACGGGGCCGAACGAAAGCTGTCAAACGACATTGCACACGTCAAGAAGACCATCGACAAATTGAAGCAACAGATCGCTCAAGCCGAGTCAGGCATGAAGGATTTTGGAAAGCGAAAGCGCAGCGGATCTATATCGAAATCTACCGCTCCCCAACGACCCGGGAAGGTTCCAAAGCACAAGAGAACATGGTCAATGTCATCAGCAAGCTCAGTGTCTGGTGGCCGTGCTCCGGCTGAAGAGGACTTGCATCTCAAGCTGGCTACTCTTCAAGACATGTTCAGCTCGACCAGACCTGCAAGCGTCCTCTATCTGAAGGGAGACGAGCACGACGATCCGGATCTACATCCTGTGCAACTGTCCGGAACACCTCAAGAGTTGGCCAAGATCGATACCAACATTGACACGACAATGTGGGAGAAACACAGCATCCATACTGGACCGACATCTTCCATTGTGTCGCCTACGCCGAGTTCGCAATCTCTGCACTCTGAGCAGCGTCGGGGCTCCACTTTCCAACCACCACCTCCGTTCGTGCCCGTGACGCGAATGTCGTCGAACGAATGGAGAAGTCTACCCCAGACAGCAACAAGCGACCTCAAACCCCTCGCGACCATTACTGCAGGGTCCGACATCCCGACGAAGGTTCAGCGCCCGTACACTGACGATCATTCCCTTTCTGGGTGGATCGAAGCGTTAGGCGTCGATCAGACTTATCAACCGCCACCCGAACCCATGTTAAAGCCAGGTACGATTCCTTCCAATGTTCGCAATACATCATATGCTAATAATAGTCCCATTGCAGTTGCTTGTTTCTTCGTTCAACCCAGGATCGCCGGGAAACAGCCGGACGATAATTATTTCAGGGCCGTGTACCTGATGGACCGCACGGTGAAGGCACTCGTTGGGGGAATCGCAATGAAGATCAATATTGAACCCACAAAAGTCACCCGAACCATCCGAATCAACCAAAAAGGGTTGCAAATTCTTATCGACGACGATGCGGTCCAAGAGATCCCCGAACAACAGGACATGACGGCCGAATTCCACGAAATTGCAACGCTACCCATGAAGCGCGAGTGGGACGCGGGCCCGACGGACATACAGGTGGATGGCGATATTAGTGTCGCCGAAAACGTGAACTCGACAGGCTACGAGCTCCGGCTTCTCTTCTGAATGCATGCATACCAATAATGCCATCGGTCAAACGTCCCACCCAACGTCCCACCCAACGTCCCACCCAACGTCCCGCCCCCGCCTCAACCCCACACCGGTCCCTACCTCGACAGATATTACCCCCTAATGACCATACCTTAATGACACCTGTACTATTCGCACAACCCGAAGCGCTGGCTGGTCGCTTTTCAGGAGAAATTTGGATGCTGGATGGATACAGGATACTGATCTATTGATTGATTAATTGATTGATTGATTGACCCACTTCACCCCAACGGCGTTGGACCCTTTCTGATTCGAAGATACCATAGCTCTCTTGGAGCCGAACTTTTCTTACTCATTCGTGTTTGTTTTGGTCAAACTACTTTTGTTTTAACGATACCCATTACCCTTTTTTACCCCCCTTTTGGAGATTCTTTTGAATGAAACAGCGGCCGAGATTGTCGTCTTTTGGTGGAGAAAGAAAGGGGGGCAAAGCACTTCTACATGGAATTTTTCATCTACATTGTCTTAACAACAACACATATTATTATTGATATTACTATTATTATTACGTATACACACACCACACACAGACGCACACATACAACGCTACACGCACACAAGTGGAGCCAGCGGCCCCGGGATTTGGAGGCAAGTGTTAATGGGCTTGGAGGGTGGAATGAAGGAAAGAAGGGTTTATATCGACAAGAATAGAGAGATTGTGTTCTTTCAATTGCACTCGAGTCTCATTTTGCTGCTCGGAAGAGGACGAATATCAAATGTTGATTCCTACAACCACCTGACTGACTACCTGACTACATGCCGTACATTCCCCACCCTCCCTCTTTCTGAAGCCGCATGTGTGTCATCCCAAACATGTACGTCCTATAGAACTCCATCAAGCCCTTCCTCCTCCTCCTCTTCTTCTTCCAATTCGCAAACTCCGCGTCCTCTCGCCAGTACACAACCAGCCACTCCACACTCGCCCTCCCACCTCACCTCACCGCACTTCCTACAACTAACGCCCGTCCGCCCGCTCCCCTAGTCCAGCACAACGCCCTACCTAAGATCAACCCCTCCCCTCGCGCTAGCGAGTCACAGCGCGTGAAAGAGACCCCCGTGTAAAGCCATATATGGCAGGATGTGTATATGCGTTCCGACCACCGCACTGCAGCAGCAACAACAACAACAACAACAACAACCACGACAACTGTAGTAGGAAACACGGTAGCAATCCAATAGCGGCATCCCCACAAATAACTCCTCCGGCCTCAAGAGAGGGCAGATCCGACGCCTCTGCGCTCGCGGATCGCATCCGCAACGGTCACCGCAACCCCGACCCAAGGCCCTCCCGTGCGGCGCGTATGTACACAGTACGCCATCTGTGATGTTGCGACTCCGCGGGCCGATAAGCAGCGGGAGCCGCGTTCGCTCCCGCGCGGAGGAGGGTGTGCACCGTGGAGTATGTACGCACGAACTCCATGGCACCATGGATTTATAATCCGCAGCTGTTACCTCCCGCGTGCAGATGTGTATCCGGCTCCGTCTGCCCCATCTCCGCCTGTCATGCAGCGTGCTGGCTTCCGAGGTGCGGAAACTACATTCTGCGCCGTTGTTGATGGCACTGGGAGGCTAAAGGGGGAAAGGGGTACTCGCTTCTAACTACCCACCCAACCTCGTCGTCGACGACGTTGTCGTCGCCGTTGTCCTCTGCCGCGGTGGAGCTAATGTGTCCCGGGCTCGGCACCTGCATCCATCGGCCCGCGCGCTCGATCCCTTTGGAGATTGTGGTTAGAGGGCGCGGGATGAGCTGGGTCGGGTCTAGGCGGGTGGCCTTGGTGCTTTGGGTCGCTGGGATCCCGAGGGTTTCGTTGGTGGGTGGCTTTACCGGGCATTTTAGTGTTTGTAGCGCGCGCCGGTCGAGGATGCTGGGGTCTGTGTCTGTGTCTGATGGCCTCGGGCGGCTAGGGAAGACCGCTTGGCAATTGTTCTGGGGTGGATGGAGGTGGGTGAGGAGGAGGGCTTGGGTCGAGCCGGGTGAGAAGGCCGACCCGCCCTGGGTCTTGTCGACGTGTTGTTTTTGGTTTCAAGTGGGCTCTAGGCATAGGGGGTGGATGGACAGCTGTCGGGCTCCTTCACCGCTCGACTGAAGTCGACTTTTGGCTCTGCTGATTGAGGCGCGAAGAGGGGGCCAATTAGAGACGTGATGCTTTATATCTGATCGATTTGGTCGATGCAGGAGAATGATTCAGACCGCTCGACTACACCTCCAGGCCGCTTTTCGAAACATGCCAGAGTGCGAATCACCATTGAAAGTTGGGAGGGCAGGTCAGGAAGCGTCAAGCCACACGGTAGGGTTGGGAGAGCTCCTTCTGACGGGCACATTGCGGTGGTGCGGTGGTGCAGAGGTGCGGTCGTGTCGGTGAAAGTGCCAACTGTCAGTAGATTTGGTCACGTCATGATGTGACTATTGGCCCTGGTGATCTTGAGAATTGATTTACAGGGTCTCCTTGTTCGCTATCTGTGACTTGGAAGGAGTCTACAAGGTCGGGAAGTATTCGCCACCCTATAAGATACCCAACGTCGTGGACTCCGAAGGGACTAGATGAATCATACCACGAACACATCGTTCAGCGTCACGCGTAGACGTGCTCGCGTAGCCGAAAGACCCTATCATTATTATTAGAAAGCCTTGGAAATCTTATGAGTGAAGATCAAATCCAGCACTGGTACACCATCGTCTATCTTCGATCAGATCAGCGGGATCGCCGTTGGGACTTCCCGTTGCGGGCAAACGGTTGCGTATGAGCCACAGGGTTGCCACACACCTCATAGCTTGACGTGGGTCTTTCGCCACAGCGGCTCGCGTTCGCGTGCGGAGAAATATTAATGGGTCAGGCTAGGTCAGTACCTGAAGTCTGGATTCGGCGGTGTTGCAGACGGATGATATGTGGAACTCTGCTGAAACTCTTGCGGAAGAAGATACCGATGTATACGTGTGCAATTCGCCACCTGTCGCTGATCACAGCAGTAGGGCGTTTGTACCACATACTTGCACGTAGGAGAGTGAGGTTGGTGGAAACGAATGATTGATGGATATCTTGAGCTTCCACATCAGGACTAGAGGGCCATTCACCTTGTACAAGTTTTGACGAGGAAGGTGGGGTTAAGCTTCTTTGTCGTTTCTCTAGTTTGCACCACGGGCGGGGACTTGGGAACTTCCATGATGCACTGCCACGATTTGTCTGGGCCTGTAGCGGCTCGCGTGGTCATCGCAGCTGAACCCTTCTGCGTGAATGCTCATGTTTTCCCTTGCGTGACGTCTCGCTCCCTTGCTTGCCACACTTCCATCAAACTCCCGCAGAGCTTCCTGAACCTCTGGAAGTCGTTTTCCTAGCCTAAATGGTCGGATAGGGCCGGCACTGACTCGCTAGTCCCCAAGTATACACCCCCCGGATCTTGCATATCCCCAATCTGCCAGGCACACTTTGACTAGCGAGAACCTCACGCGAGTCGTCACGGCTTATGGTACCGAGTTTGTCGATCCAATGTATGCAACCTCGTGGACGTCTACGGCGCATGTCGCCCTCTTGATTGTCAGCTCAGGAGTGAGGTTGCTAGGCCTTGGCTGAATAGCACACCGGGTAGATGCTAGACTGGAGACGAAGAGGTCGACGTGCATGCGATATTAACGGCAGTCGAGGCAGAGTTCGGCATTGTAGTCGACTTGGGTAGGGTCCCCGCTCGTGACTAGTGTGGGATGCGGTGTGGGATGTTTGTGTCGTCTGGCTGACTGCAGAAAGGCTGCAGGTGTCGGTCAGGTCACCGTTCTTTGCATTCTGGTTGGGTGGTGGTTCTGTTTCAACTTCCGACGTATAGCAGAAGCCTGGAGAGACTGGGTGCTGGTTGCTGGTAGGTTGACGTTGGAAATAAACTGTACAGCACATCAGCACGAGAGTTCCTGCACGTGAACCCCGTCGGCGAATGCGCAATCGAAAGTGCTGCATGCAGCACCATCGTGCCTTTTTGCCTAAGTTCAGAAATGTTCCTTTCGGCGAATGGGATGCGGTGGCGCGTATGCTTTCGACAATCTGATGGCCTCTTCGGGACGCCTCCTCTGGAATACTACCGGTTGGTGGACGTATCCTAGATGGATGAGATGGCGTATTTGGGAGACGCAGATTGGGGCGTTGAAGGCAATTACCGAACTTCATGCTCTCCTTACAACGGTGCCCTTGCCTCTAGCTCCAATCGAAAATCAAAATCATACATAGTCGATGAGGAAGCCTGCGAAGATCTCCGAATTCAATAGTTCGCGGAGTGTGATGCTTCGCGGTCAATATTGAGTTGTGCGAGGTAAAAGCCGTCAATCATTGCTGAGTTGGAGGTTGACACCCCCGCTTTCGTCATCAGCATTGCGTCTTGGAGGGTTCGTGCACGTGGGCTCCCGGATTCCCTGCCTCTTGCTGCCGAGTGCTCCGGAAAAGACCCTCGTCTTTCGGAATCGAAAAGGAGGATTTACATCTTGGAATCGATAGAGGGAGGGTTCCCCGTGGATCGTCCTAGGCAATATATTGTATGTGACCCGGGTCCGAGGGTTTGTTCTGGCATCAATGTCCGACTCTTCGTGCTGTTTTTGAGGCCATCGAGACTATCACTTCTTGGGTGTATTGATACGTGAATGTTACGGATAGACGGTTTTGACAGGAAGGATTTGTAGACTGCTTTAGACGCGCACCGCCACAGGTGGTTCATAGTAAAGATCGAAGGGGGAAAACAGCTCGATTCGCAATAATTGTATTATGAGGAGTGCTTGCTCCTGAGAGGAAATGTCGGCGTCGGTTGGAGCTTTGAGCAGTCTCTGAATTGGAGGAGAGATCAATCGTCCAACTCTCTCCCAAAGTCTATCAACCGCAATCGCTTCGCGTCCTTGGGATCAAATTGCGCAATCTTCGCCCTCACCAGAAATCGCGATGCCGCAGAGTCTCTCTCGAGCTCATAGTAGGCTCTACTACCTCCCGGTCCCGTCAGTGTCGCAAAAAGATTCTCGATGAGCTTTCGCATCTCGTTATCGGCGGCTTCCGCCTCTGTCAATGGCTCATCGTCGTCAACAGCGACAGCGTTGTCGCCCCAGATTTCGTCAATCTTCCGTTGTCGCCTCTTGTCAGAGACCTGCTTCCTCGTGGACTTCGCTTTTCCCTTCTTTGTGAACCCCGCTGCGAGAGTATCGTTTTCCACGTCCAGCATGTCGCCAACAACAGGACCACCCAGCTCTTCGGCAGCAAGCATAGCAGCCAAATGATCATTTACAAAGTCTTCAAAGGCTTGTCCCAGTCGCCG